TCTGGATCTTGTTTTCGACCGACTACAAAAGCATAGCATTACTGTAAACATTCATAGATGCTAAATCGGAACCGACTCCTTAGACTTCCTAGGACACGATATCGATGCACAAGGTATCCGACCCCTTAAACCAAAAGTGGCGGCCATCCTGGATTACCCAGAACCGACCACCATCAAGCTATTGCTCACGTTTAACGGTTCGGTATGTTTCTGTAGACGATTCATACCGAAATGCGCCTTAATTATGAAATCTCTTACCGACCAACTTCGTGGAAATGCCAAATCCATCAATCTGGATGACACTGCGCAAAAAGCATCCTCCACAGTTAAGGAACGTATAGCTCAAGCAACAATGCTTGCTAATCAGGACACTGAAGCGCCCATTAGTATCGCAGTAGACGCATCCGACTCAGCAATCGGAGCAGTCTTACAACAATGGGCTAACCACTCCTGGGAACCTTTGGCATTTTTCTTCAGACGGTTGCTAGACACTGAATTGAGGTACAGCACATTCGGTAGGGAACTCCTAGCTATGTATTGTGCTGTACGGCATTTTCAAAACTATATCGAAGGCCGTGAATTCACCATTTTTACCGACCATAAAACTTTTACTCTCTCCTTAAGCCCTTCTTCAGACAAGTACTCACCACGTGAGTCTCAACAAGTAGACTACATTTCGCAGTTTACTTCAGTTATTCGACTCATTTCTGGAGCAGATAATGTAGTTGCAGACGTCTTGTCTCGAATAACTTCCTTGAACAGTTTCCAAGGTATCTACCTTTTAAAATTCGCCCAACTTCAAAAAGAAAACACTGATCTTCAGCATGAGTTGTCCTCAACAACACTTAAACTGCACATCAAACAGATGGGAACAGGTAAGGAAACTTTACTTTGCGACACATCTACGGGTAGAGATCGCTTAATCGTATCGAACCATTATCGATGAAACGTCTTCAATACGTTACATAGACTCTCTCATCCAGGTGTTCGTGCAACCATCAAGCTTATAGCAGAACGGTTTTGCTGGTATGGTACGAATAAAGACGTGAGGGAGTGGGCACGCTCCTGTGTATTATTTGTCAAACATCTAAGGTTATTAAACATCACAAATGCCCTTAGGCTCGTTTAAAACTCTAGATGCTCACTTCGACCACGCTCATTTGGATTTGGTATGATCTTTACCGGACTCAAATGGATATTCTTATCTTTTAATCTGCGTAGACCGTCTTACTCGATGGCCAGAAGCAGTACCGATCAAAGACATTACTGTTGAAACGGTGGTCCGCGTCTTTTTCGAACGATAGGTAGCAAACTTCGGCTGCCCAACAACCATCACTACAAATCGTTGACGTCAGTTTGAATCTGAACTTTTCCGTTGTCTGATGGCAATATTAGGAATCACTCGTTTCCAAACGACGGCCTACCACCTACAAGCAAACGGGTTAGTAGAACGCTTTCACCGACAACTAAAAGCGTCATTATCAGCCTCAAACATTTCTCAGTGAACTGACGCTCTTCCACTCGTCTTACTAGGTGTTCGCAATGCAGTGAAAGCTGACATTGGATACACTGCGTCTCAACTCGTTTATGGTACGACCCTTCGACGTCCAGGAGAGTTCGTGGATCCTTCATCCTCTTCGATGAACATGGATCTAACCTCCCACTCGAACAGGCTTACAAACGCAATGCGTTCAGCTAAACCTGTTTCCACTCGACCGCAATCAACTGATGTTTTCGTTAAACCTGACTTACTATATAGTACACACGTCCTCGTACGTCGAGACTCTCATCGACGACCTTTCGAGCTAGCATGCGAAGGACCTTTCAAAATTCTTCAACGTGAACACAAGTATTATATAATCGATAAGAACTGAACCAACGAAAGCATCGGCATCGATCGCCTCAAAGAAGCGTATTTAGAAGGAAATCCTATCCACGTCGATTGTCCTTCAATAGAAACTCACGACACAACTCCTGTCCTTATAATACCTCAATCGGCAGCCGACATACAGTTGATACTTCAGCGGTATCCGAAAATAAACTCAAAACAACGCGTTCTGGAAGAAGAGTAAGATTTCCAGAACGTTTGAACGATTACTGCACGTAAGGTACAAGTTTACATTTTATGTCATCTCGAGTTTCCCTTGTACTATATATAATTTTTTTTAAAAAAACACGAATTTAATATGCCAATATATTTTAATTTTTTTATTTCAAACAAAGAAAAAAAGCGATGTTATAAAAGTCCTTTTTTTACACTATTACGTGAGCATGAGTTTATTTTCCATTTTCTTCGCTCGCTTTGTGTTTTTACGCGAGTACGAGTGTATTTCGACATGCACTTACATATTTTTTTCTTTTCCAGGACGACTGGAAAAGACGATAAAAAGAAGTTTGCGAGAAACGAAAATCTTCATTGTACCTTTTCTTTTTTTACTATATTGTACATCATGGTCCATTATAGTAAGGAAAGACAACCAGACGCTGCTTAAACTAGCAAGCTGTTAGAAGAGTGTTTACCAACAAACAACTTGTTGGGTTTAAACTTCTGGCTTGCCACGTCTTAGGGTCATCACTACCCCACTAGTAGATGAGTGATCTATAGCGGTAAATAAATCCCCACAATAAAATAGCTCTGTAAGTTTTCGACCACAGTTTTAGTGGACTCATCTAGCTGAAGGCGCTCGGTCAAGCATCCGCACCAGATCATGTGTGGGAATGCCATGCTCAACATCTGCCGCAATGGCTAGCCAGATTAGTGCAAAGGATCCTCGATACATTGGTAGCTTATCACATATATCTTCGATCTCCTCGCCTCTGTCTTTTGATTTTACTTGGTGGGTGCGCTTCATATTAAGAGGTGTTGCTGGTTAAGGCGTTGTCAAACTCTTAATACCTGTGGCATCTTCAACATGTTTCTAAGGAACGAATTTATGCAGCTGTGATTTACTTCGACTTCATAAATATCAGATCACGCCAGCTAATAAAACTTGTGCGAAGTACAGCATCTCACAGTTTTTATTATTTTGCTCCCACTTAAGTATTCACATGCATCTGCGTCCGGTTTTACAGGAAGATATACAAGTTGATTTAGTATCTGGTAAACTAAAAGTTCCAGTTGTCAAAAAGACTCTTAACACTTGTCCACAGCCAGCAGCATTTAATTAAAACAGAGCACTCCTCATCTAGGACTGTATACTGCTGTTTTGCAGGCACATAAAAGCTCAGACACTTAGCTATCCTGCTACCGATGTTATTGCTGGGGAAATCGTTTGATGACAGTGTTCTTGAAACATGGACAGTGTTAGACGTACTGTCTAGAAATAAACACCAAACGTACTTAAAGCTATCAAATAATATATGACAGCAACAGTACCAAAGGCTTTTTTTCCTATTTTTATTCAGACTGATTTGAATCAGTATACACATTAGAAACAGGCAGCTCTACTTACTAAACTGATCTGTTTCGTTACAGGCTCCAAGCAATATACTTAAGTATACCATAATTTTTTCGACTAAACTGAATTATACGACAACCAAGGATACTAAACTAAGCAAGTGTCATAATTATTGTTTCATTTGCACAGACATGTTGCTCAAGGTAGTTAAATGGATATAATTCAGCCGATAAAACCAAAACACGAAATATAGGCCAGTCGAACTTACCTAACAGAAGGCAAAGGATATATATATTGCTTTCAGACTGAAGACAACTGTCAGTTGTTCATAAAAACATAGTTTACAGTACAAAAAACCTTCCTTCAGTGACATCATGCACTGACAGTCTATCTGGAAACAATCAACTATGAGATTAAACTCACTATGACTTGGGATATCACTCCAGTGCGCAATCAATGTACAGTGTAACGCAGTCAGACGTGGCGAATAAAAATTAAAACCAGAGCAAAATTAACAACATAATCTAGTTGGTTAATTAAAATTACATTATGAAATGACAAAATCTGTGGTTACTTGAGCGCACAGATGACTCTGGGCAATACATTAAGTTTACATGGTTGCGTTGAGGATAAATTCGCCCGTATGTCCGGTAAATAAAACGAGGTCAACGTAAATGTCGAAGACATACAGAACTATTCAGTTCAGATATTTATTTACGACCGAAACATCAGTGGTTGACTCATAACTCATGATACAAAGCAAGAACATTCAAAAGCATGCATAACATATTTAAGGGCATCACAGACGGCGTAGTCCCTAGGAATTTATAAAGTGCCTGACGGCGATCAAATAATATCAAGTGGGTAGACAAAAATAGACTACCAAAGTGTATGATAAGAGGTGCTATACTTTATGAAAACCCCATAAGAATGATGAATTTTTACTCCTTTGTACAAAGGAGGGTAAGAGATTGTTTTACATTGATCCAGGAGATTACTAAGTTCCTTACAAATCAATTACTATACTTACCTCAGTGTAACAATAACTAAAGTGAACATTCACTTGATCCAAGCCAAACGTAACAGAATAGCATATAAGTATACATCCTATTCCTTAACAGCAATCAAGACTTAAAATTCCACATCGTTTGAGGGGGCCGAATTACTCTTCATCAAGCTTTCTGAAAGAAAACTTGATATTTTCTTAAAAATTCAACATATCTCAGAGTGACTTACCGATACTTCTACTGTTTCTACTGATTTCATATACCTAGGTCTTTACCTGATGTATTAGTGATTCATTTTGATTAGAAAAATAAGTTAATTGGGTCAACTTCCCGCTTTTTTCTCTCACAACCACTATAACCATTGGGCATTGTAAATCGTTGTTCATAAGGCTTGGAAATGCACATCATAAGGTCGCGCGGGCGTTCTGAAGATGTCTAAAAGGAGTTCGGCCCCTTCTATAAATGATTTCGTTATGATAAAACCTATAAGCAAAGGTGCTTTTGGGTACTGGATTGTTTACTATGTAATCTTGAAAGAAAAGTGTTTTTAGGAGCTAAGGCAAACAATATTGACCTTATATACGCAATAAAAATAATGTCTAAAGAAGAAATGAGGAAGAAAAATCTTGTGGAAAAAGGTAAGTGGATTGTTGATCAATACTAGATCGCAGCTACTTGCGAGAGAAATGCCCTTGCAGTTAGTAAATGCCCATATATTGTCCATTTGTATTACTGTTTGCAAACCACCAGTCATATATATTTGGTAATAATCATTATTATCATAGTCTAAAATTGCAGGTTATGGAATACCTCGTCGGTGGTGATCTTAAGTCACTTTTGCTGGTTATGGGCTGTCTTCAAGAATCTCACGCTGCTGTCTATACTGTTGAAATTGCAATAGCCTTGGAATATCTTCATAAACATGGAATAATTCACCGTGATCTTAAGCCGGATAATATACTTATTGACTCCAAAGGACACTTAAAGCTGACGGATTTTGGGTTGTCTACTATAACATGGAAGCGTCGTAAGTTTTCTGAACTTTCCTCACTTATAAATTTTTCTCGATGACTTTGATCCTCCAAAATTCATTGTTAGAAGTCACTATTTCTAATAAGTTTATTCTAAAACGATTTTCATTTTCAAGTTTGCGTCTGTACTTCATTCCAGTCAAAGTTAAATTTTCTGTGAACAAACAAAGATCTAACGGATTAGAGAAGTCTTACGTCTAATAATTACTTGAACCGACTTAGAGTGAAACGGAAATCAACTACTAGATGGATGTCTGATTTTTGTAACTAAACCAATACGGTTTTGAACGCATTTTTATCATAATTTCACAAAACGTATTCAATGAAGAGGTCCATAACAGCACATCAGATCTGTCAAAAATGTAGCAGTCGATGAAATATCGAAAGTTAGGGTCTCAATAGTCATGCATTATTCAATGAAGAATAAATATGTCGTCATAATAGAAAGCAGTCTTTTTTTGTTGTTATTTCTCCTGAGGCCATGTCTCTATCATCCAATTTAGCTCATATAAGTTATCAGTATTTCCAAAGGTTGTATACTTTAAGAAGCGTAATCCAAGTCATTATGGCAAAGGAAAATGTTTTTTGAATAGAAAGTTTTATGGGAATTGTTGGTAATACTATTTACATCTGTATTTATAACACATCTGAGTCATCAGTTATGGTTAATTTCTTCAGAAAGTAAAGACCGGTGTTACCTCCGCTCAAAAGAATGTCAGTTCTTGTTACTCTTGTTTTGTTTTGTCAAAGGTATTCTGTTAATTAAATGTGCTGTTTTAACTTGGTCAGGTATCTTATGACATTTCAATGTCCTTTTGTGTATATAAGGGGTCCGGTTGTCTACTCTGATCTTTTCGAGTTTACTGTTTTACGAAAATAACTCACTTTCCTGAGATGCTACATAACTTCCATAAAAATCCATCAATAGCCATACATGAATACGTGGTAACCTTTCTTGGTTTTCCCGTGTTACTTGAGTTTTAATTCCCAATTATTTTAGCATCCTTCAATTTGTGTTTATCTTTATAGCTTTACAGCCAAGTGACGTTTTGAATACACCATCTGTAGTTTCGTTACCTTTGCAATACTACCGAACTCCTGGCCAACTTATTTCTCTGACAACCGAACTGGCTTTCGTAAGTATTCAGGAATTAATTCTGTTTTGTTCATTTAAGAAGCAGTCAATAACATTCAAATAAATCTACTATAAGAATAAATACCATTATCTTCGAATAGACTTGTAATTAGATAACGAACAGTAAAGCGACATCTAAATCCTGATCTCTTGATAATAGTTATCTGAGTAATTCCGATAATGTACTCCAAAAATCATTAGATTTTATATTCCCTGTTTGAGTCAGCCATCGTACCGTTAATGTGTTGTACAGGAAGTAAACATCACATGAGTTACTATTATTTAGTCTCATAATAGACTAAGCATAGTAAAATGCTTCTCTGGAAGTGTTTGCAGTAAAAGTGAATAAATATTGTGATTTTCTTAGACTGTATCAAACAGTAATGGCGCATATAAATAAAGCGTTAAAAAGGCTCAATAAAATAAGAAATAAAACACAAGAATTGTGTCTGGATAAATATGACAATTACTATATTACGTTATTATGTTTATCTCTGCCAACAGAATTTAATTTTCCAAGTAGTTTATTTGAAGGCACTCGACTTTGTAGAGTTTTGTAAACTTCGAATTTAACTATTTTCACGTACAACTAATTTATTTATTGTGCTTTTTAGACGGATACACCTACCATACATAAAACTCATGAAGTTCTGGAGGAACGCTTATTGACTTCACGGGATGACAATGCCAAAACTTGTTTTTCCCCCGAGTGTTTATCATCAGCAAAAGTAGCGTTACATGTAGATTTTATTTATGTCGTTTAACTTTCGTTGATTAATATTGTGGTTCAGTACGTTGTCAGAGCTTTAATTTGATCAGATGTTATATGAATACTGAAATGAATCACATGAATGTGTGATTCGATATCATTGTAACTGGTTCTCAAACTAGTTATAAGAGTGTTAGCTTTGTTCATCTTCTATAGTCCTTGAGTTTGGTTTTAATTATTCGACAACTTTTGGTTTCAGCCAAAGAAGACCATAATCTCTGTCACATGATAAGTGTATAGACTTAAGTTTATTTATTTGAACACATAAATATTGGTACAAGAGGGCACCAAATTTACATGCGCCACACAAAATGATGAGAATTTAAAGAGAAGGGAAAAAAGAAAGGAGGGTAAGGAGCGTAAAAAAAAGATTAATATCAAACAGATTAGTTTAAGGTAGTGTAATAGTAGTAATGATGGGGGAAACGAAAAGGTACAATCAGAGGAAATCTTTCAGTTAAGGAAGAGGCAACCACTTTTTACGAAGAGAGCAAAAGAAGGTTACAGCAGGATCGCCACTAGCTTCTATTCTGAGCCATATCTGATAACGTCTGTATCCACTGTGTTGCACCATCTCTCGGACCCCAGCCAGGGAGTTGTGAAGGACCAACACAAGCCAGTCCTTTGCAGCTTTCTTCCATACCACGACACCATGTCATACACTGACCTTCTCTCCTCTTTTTCCAACCAGTCCCAAAGTCGGCAAATAATGCACGACGTGGAATCCTCTGGGACGACATTCGTAGAACATATCCAAGCCACCGAAGTCGGTGTTTCAAGATGGTGACACCAATTGCATTATCGTCTCTGTGCCCGAACACACGATGCCGAACCTCTGCATCGCTAACATGGTGTTGCCGGTGGATGTCAGCAATCCTTCGGAGACAGCGATGACTGAACACAGAGAGTCGTCTAACGTCCTCAGCTCGAAGAGGCCAGGTTTGACAAGCATAGGGCAGAACTGCTCTCACCGACGCGTTGTAGATCCGACCTTTTACAGCCAGACTAACATCACGAAGGCGCCGAAGATGGCCCAGATTGGCATAAGCTGCTCTGGCTTTCACTATACGTGCATCGATCTCATCACTCACGCCACCACCAGCACTTGTGTAGCTACCCAGATACACGAACTTCTCGACTACTTCTATCTGCTCACCATCCAGAGTGAGTACAGGATTAGAATCCTGTCTGTCTTGTAGAAGTACTTTGCACTTGCCCCCAAATGCCCTGGTACGGCCGAGAGTGGGGAGAGTCCGCTCTCCCACTCGAAATGCTCTCACATGGCCACGCGTATATAGCCTCTGTCAGGGAAGTCCTACTCACTGCCTTCTCGTGGCGGGGGTGTTGTTTACAAAAATGAGAGGACGAAAAGCGAATGTCCGGCGCTTTAACCGGACCCCAAACCAATGGTGCACATGGGCTCCAGTATCCTGCGGGAACAAATGGCGTATGAACCAATCGTTGGTCACCGGCTCCCATGGGACTGCATCTCCTCAAGATGCTCCACTGCCTTGTGGGTCAGACGTTCAGGTCGAAGGCTCGGGATGTGGCCCCCTAAGAAAACCAGCTGCTTCGGTTTGGGCACCCGAACAGTATCACAGCCCTCACACAAATCAATTAAGATTCGTGTGGCGCATATGTACTTGGTGCTTCCCTGTACCTATACTTATGTGTTAAAATAAAATAAAATAAACTTTGCACTTAGAAGGTGCAAAGCACATACCATACCTACGGACACTGATTGTCAACTGATTAAGTGTGGATTGTATGGCTTGGGCATTATCGCACAGTAAAATAATATCATCCTCATACTCAAGGTCGAGAAGTCTTTCTCCAGGCGACAGATCCACACCACCATTACTTACATCCACCAGAACTGTTTCCAGAATGTCGTCGATGGCAAAGTTGAAGAGGAATGGTGAGATTGGGCAACCCTGCCTAACCCCACTGCTCGAATGGAATAGTGGAGAAAGGTGGTTGTATGCCCTCACTCTGCCTGAGGTGTTTGTATATAGGGCTTTTAGGATGTTAATAAACTTCTCAGGCACACTCTTCTTCAATAGACAATCCCAGAGAACAGTTCTGTCCAACGAATCAAAGGCAGCCCTGATATCAAGAAACACTAGGATTGTTGGCCTTTGATAAGTATGGCGGTGTTCTAACATTTGGCGGAGGGTGAAGATATGATCAATACATCCTCGACCGGAACGAAACCCAGCCCGCTCCTCGCGAGTCAATCTTTCTCGGGTTTTGAACAACCTACGAAGTATAACGGAAGCCAATAGCTTGGACGCAATTGGAAGTAGACTTATCCCCCGATAGTTGTTACAGGAACGACGTGAACTCTTTTTAAAGATAGGGACAACTATTGACTCATTCCATGATGTTGGTAAACTCTCTAGTTCCCAGACCTTTGTAAACAACGTCGTCAGTCTCTTAGTCAGAAAGTCACCACCATCTTTAAAAAGAGCCGGAGGTAAGTCATCTGGGCCCGGTGATTTGTAACGTTTCAAGAGTTGGAGTTCCTTGCGGACTTCCACCTCATTTGGTGGATCAGTCGTCAACGGCCATGGAGAGCAGGACAGTCTGACCGATGTTGCCGGAGCAGCAGGCCAGTTGAACTGCCCTTCGAAAAATTCTGCCCATCATCCAAGACGTCGATGGATGTTAGTGATAGGCGTTCCGTCATTCTCGCAGATTGTTTCGCTCACACCAGACTTCTTGCTGCCAGTGGCTCGGATGAGTTGGAGGAGCTTCCGGTAGTTGCCAGATGCAGCTGCTGCTTCCAGCTCATTAGCACGCTCTGACCACCAGGCTTCTCGGTTCTTACGCAAGCTTTGCCCGATTTCATTACGTAACATCCGTGGTTTGTGGTCAAACTCACGGTCACCCGGAGTAGACCGACGGGCTTCAATGAGTTGTAAGGAGCCTAAAGAAACCCAGTGCTTGAAAGCGGAACGTTTCGCGAACCCACAATTGACTTTACTCGCCATTTTCATGGCATCATGCAATTGCAACCAATGCTCATCTATACTTTTTGGTGGAATGGTAGCTGGCCTAGAAGCTAGCTCGGTTCGGTACTTACTAGCAACAGAAGTTGCAACCAGCTTGCTAACCTCAATCCCTTGATGGCGGTCACTTCGTTGGCCACTGAAAAGTAAGGTAAGATTGGCGCAGACCAGGGCATGATCAGGTGGAGAGCGAACTTGTCGTACTTCACTAGAGTCTTGGATAGACAACAAACGTCAATATTAAGACTTTCCAAAGACATAGCTAGTCCTATCTGTTGTCCGACCTGCATAAGTGTGCGAACGTTAAGGGCAGCCAGTTTGAATGGTGCACGTGGTTTCAGAAAAACTGCTTCAGTATTCGTATTCGGTGGTAGCATACAATTTTCAACCAGGCAGTGACTCGGAAACGCTTAGATATAACCGAATTTCCACGATAGGCGAGCTGCTGTATAAGTCGAAAAATAAGTATACACAGAGTGGGAATAAAAGAGGGTGAATAAATGACGTAGTAAATAATGATAATAATAACAATAGTAATAATAATGCGAGTCATTTGATTGCTAATCGGAGCGAAAAGAATATTTTTCATAAGTAAACGGTTCATCATGTTTTTGTGTGTGGGCTGAGATACTGCCCAGACCGAAGCAGGTGGTTTTCTTAGGGGGCCACGCTCCTAAACGTCTGACCCACAAGGTAGTGGAGCATCTTGAGGAGATGCAGTCCCATGGGAGCCGGTGACCAACGGTTGGTTCATACGCCATTTGTTCCCGCAGGATACTGGAGCCCATGTGCACCATTGGTTTGGGATCCGGTTAAAGCGCCGGACATTCGCTTTTCGTCCTCTCATTTTCGTGAACAACACCCCCGCCACGAGAAGGCAGTGAGTAGGACTTCCCTGACAGAGGCTGTATACGCGTGACCGTGTGAGAGTATTTCGAGAGGGAGGGAGAACCAACCCCACTCTCGGCCATACCTGAGCATTTGGGGGCATAAACGATGGTAACTTAACTGATTCCATATCGCTTAACTTCCAAATCGGTCAGCAGAGTTCCTTGGCTAAAACCCTAGAACTTCGTGCCATTCATGTATGTTGTATCTCCGAAACACGCATACAGGATCCTAGTGTGGTCATTAACTCGACCTCACTTCGGCAAAACTTAGAGCCAGCGGGATACACCCTCAGTGTATCTGGTGACACGATGGCCAGTTCTTGTGGACTGGCAGGTGTAGGCATAGCACTAAGCATGAGGGCGTGACAAGCACTGTTAGAGTGGATCCCCCTTAACAGTCGTTTATATGCCGTTCAGCTAAACGGCTCCGTAAGAACTCGGAAGTATAGGGACACACGTCGTTGCCTTTTCGTCGTTTCTGCCTACGCTCCCACTGACTGCAGCTCGGATGAAGTGAAAGATGAATATTACAGAAAGCTCTCTGAACTTCTTCAGAAGGCTAAACATTCAGACATAGTACTCGTAATAGGTGACTTTAATGCCCAGATAGGTAATTTAAACCAAACAGAAAGACATTTAGGTGGGTATTTTGGTATTCCGGCACAGCGAACAAATAATGATGATCGTCTGTTGCAAATGTGCTTAGACAATCGTTTATTTTTAGCAAACAAATTTTAAGCATAAGGAGAGACATCGTCTAACATGGCGACCCCCCTACACCAAACCAATGATGAACTCAAATAGACCATATTGCCATCAGTCATCGTTGGAGAGGGTCGGTAGAAGATTGTCGCTCATTCTGGAGTACCTGCTTGGACTCCGACCATGCCCTAATACGGGCACGCATCTGCTTGCGCCTCACTGGACGCAAAACAGTCACACAAAAAAGACTCATTAGTACTGAATTGTTTAACGAGAAAAAAAATTAGGCTCCAGTAACAACTGAGGTCACACTTAGATATTTCTGAAAACGAGGCTGATCCAGATGTTGCTTGTAA